TAATTGTGAAGAAGTTAATTATTTATTAAGGAATTTTTAATTTCTGTGTTCATTAAAAAGGGCATGAATAAATATAAAATGAAATCTTTAAAATAAAAATATAAAGTTATAAGACAATTTTAAGAAAAAACAGTTTTAAATAACGCTAATTTAGCATTGACTAGTAATGTTAGAAGGTTGAAATATATATAAACGAATTTATTTACGATCTCGTATTGCCTATATATATACTTATACAAAAAACTTTTATATAAAATTCAAACGCAAATTTGTTTGAATGTTTTTTATTTGTTACGTGTTTACTGGTTTATGCAGTGATGCCAAGTTATTCTTGAGCATCATTGGGGCATTGGAGCAAAAAATACACCTAATATATATGAAATGTCATTGGTATAGATGTTATATATATATGGTAACCCTCGCAAAATGTTTACAGCTGATTTTTATCTATTTCACTTTGTCGATTTGTTCTTACCAAAATCGGCTTGCTTAGAGGATGCATAATTAGTAAACAACACAAAATTTTGTTAAAAGAGTTTGATGAAATGTTTAGGATTCGAAGACGTATCGCGATAATAGTTTGTGCTACTTGTATCTTATTATTTTTAAGTTTTTACTTTTTTATTAATTATGCAGCGCCGACGGAAGAAAAACAGGTAAATTTGGCTTCGGCCTAAAAGAATAGTTCTTCTGCTTTCCATATTGATTGACCACCAACTGTGAAACGTGGCTTGCTTAGTAAGATCATTTGTATCCTACAATAAACTAATTTAATGTTTGCGAATAAGTGATCTAATATTTACCTTTTTACCAAACGTGTGCTTTGGAATAGAGTCTTAAAATATTAATAATATCTAAATTAAATTTTTACATAATGTTTTATGTTCAATTCAAATGCTAAAATTGATTCCAAAAATAATATTACATTTAGTCGAATTTTGGCGCAATTGAATTAAAATTGCAGGAATTGGAAACGGGTCTAAAGCGTCATGGACAAGAAATGCGTCATCTTAAAAACAAGATTGAACGTAATCTCCAAGACAACATGATTGTAAAAGACGAAAACTTCCAGAAATATATTGATGTGGCTGCAAAAACAGGGAGAACTTCACCTCCAGAATGCGCGTTTGATACACAATTAGCGCCGCAGCCAGATGTGCAGGTAATATTAAAATTTAATCTTTACATATTATAATATAAAATCTATTATATATTTTTTTTTGCTTTAGATGTTAGATCTTTACGAAAAGATGACGTTTACCGATATTGATGGAGGTGTTTGGAAGCAGGGCTGGAATATTAAATATGATCCATTACAATTTAATGAACATCATAAGTTAAAAGTTTTTGTAGTGCCACATTCTCATAACGATCCTGGTATTATTTTCCAACTAGCACTTAAAAAATGATTTAATATTTATCTGCTTTTAGGCTGGATAAAAACATTTGAAGATTATTATGAACACGATACCAAGCATATTCTCTCCAACGCACTACGCCATTTACGCCAAAATCCGGATATGAAATTTATTTGGGCGGAAATTTCATATTTTTCACGTTTTTTTGAGGATTTGGGACACAAAAATCGAGAAGAATTTAAAAAGTATATATTACTCTTAATAAAAAATTTTGCTTTAAAATTTTATGTATTCATTTACTAGATTGGTACAAGGTGCACAGTTTGAATTTGTTACTGGTGGTTGGGTTATGCCAGATGAAGCCAATTCCCATTGGATTAGTATTTTGTTGCAGTTAACAGAAGGACAAACTTGGTTAAAAAATACATTCAATATAACTCCTTCATCTTCTTGGTCCATTGATCCATTTGGCCATAGTCCCACTTTGCCTTATGTATTAAAAAAATCTGGTTTCAAAAATTTATTAATACAACGTACTCATTACTCAGTAAAAAAAGAATTAGCTTCAAATAAAAATCTTGAATTTAACTGGAGACAGCTATGGGGTAATAATTAAACATAACAGTGTTGCTGACTTGTAACATACTCGTAATATATAACTTACAGATGACACAGGTGATACGGAATTGTTCACTCATATGATGCCATTTTATTCTTATGATATACCACATACTTGCGGACCTGATCCTAAAATTTGTTGCCAATTTGATTTTAAGCGCATCCAGGGATTCGGTCTTTCATGTCCTTGGCGTGTACCACCTCAGCCGATTTCTGAACAAAATGTAGCACAAAGGTATATATTGTGGAAACTGTTTTTTATTCAGATTTATTTTTCTAATGAATATCTATCGTATGTAGAGCTGAAATGATCGTTGATCAATGGAAAAAGAAAGCCGAACTATATCGCACAAATGTTGTACTAATTCCACTGGGTGATGATTTTCGTTATAGTCAGAGTACAGAATGGGAAGTGCAACGTATTAATTATGAATCACTTTTTGAGTATATAAACGCTGAGCGAAATCTTTTTGTGGAAGCAAAATTTGGCACGTTGCAAGAATATTTTGATATGGTGCAGCAGGAAAAACGTGATTTTCCTACATTAAGTGGTGATTTCTTTACATATGCTGACAGAGCTGATAACTACTGGAGTGGGTATTATACCTCTAGACCATATCATAAACGCATGGATCGTGTATTATTGCACTATGTTCGATCAGCAGAAATGTTAACTGCATGGAGTGCATGGGATGATGAAAGTAATTTTAAAGAAAAGTTGCTTGATGCGCGAAGAGAATTATCTTTGTTTCAGCATCATGATGGAATAACTGGAACCGCAAAAAATCACGTAGTAGCCGATTATGCGCTACGATTAATGAATGGCATAAAAGCATGCCGATTTGTAATGCAGCAAGCCGTTTATAAGTTATTGACTAAACCAGCTGTAAGTAACTTCTATATAAATATTCTATATTGTCATAGTAATATATTAAAAATCTATTTAGATTTATAATGTTGATTACAAATTCACTTACTTTCACATGGACGATTCCCGCTGGCCCGGCCCAGATGACAGTCGAACAACAATTATACTTGGTGACGAATTGCCTAGTAAACATGTTGTGTTTCATAATTCTCTTCCGCAATGGAAGGAGGAACTTGTTGATTTTTACGTTTCTAGCCCATTTATGACTGTTATGGATTTTGACAATAACCCTGTGCATGCTCAAGTTAGCCCCGTATGGACTTGGCACCGACATATACAAACAAACATAATAACTCCTCAGGCATCAACCACAAAATACCGTTTAATTTTTAAAGTGAAAGTACCACCTCTTGGTCTGGCAACGTATATAATAAATATTAAGTCTCCAGACGCAAAATTAACGTAAGTATACTGAAAATATGAATTGTGGCTCACTTTGAGCCATTAATTCAGCTATTCGAAGTATAGTGGATATATTTTTGTTTTTATTTTGTTTTTATATTAGTTATACTACCTTAGCTACGAATCTCATATTGAATACTAATCCAATATCTGTGAATCTCGGAGACTATCAGCATGAAGTCAAATTTGGTGAACATCGCGAAATCTCACTGCGAGTAGGTGATGGACCTAAAGTTACTTTTAGTGCTGATGGTCTAATGAAATCTATACAAATTGATGAACTCGTATCGAATACTCCAATACACTTAAAATTCTACAAATATGGCACTCGAATTAATGGTGATCGCTCTGGTGCTTATCTCTTTATACCAAATGGTCCAGCTACACCTTTTCTTAATGTACAGCCACCAGTTGTATTAATTACGGAAGGTCCACTAGAAGCCAGTGTTACTACAGGCCTTCCATTTGTGATTCATCAGACTGTGTTACGAGGTGAAGCACCAGAAATACGTAATCTCGTGGATATTGGTGATATGGATGATATTGAAATTGCTATGCGGTTTTCCACACGCATCAAAAATGCGGATGTTTTCTACACCGATTTAAATGGTTTGCAAGTAAGTTGCGAGTTGAGAGTTGAGAGTCAGTATTATAAATATATTTATTTAAAATTTTTGTTTTAAGATGATTAAACGTAAACGATTCTCTAAATTACCACTACAAGCAAATTACTACCCAATGCCGACTGCCATGTACATTGAGGATGATGAAACACGTTTAACTGTAGTTAGCGCACAACCTTTAGGCGGAACTTCCTTAGCAGAAGGAGAATTAGAAATAATGCAAGATCGTCGTTTAGCACGTGACGATGAACGTGGTCTTGGTCAAGGAGTTTTAGATAATCAGCCTGTACTACATATTTTCCGTATAATTTTAGAACAAATTAAAGGTTGTAAAAGATTAGTAGAAACACATCCCTCCGGTGCTTTAACTACAGCTGCATACTATGCTTCAAAAATAATTTTAAATCCCATTAACAAATTTATATATACTGAAAACGATTGGTTAGGTGTACAGAGAGATTTTGGAGCCGATCATATAGCTGCTGAAGATGATGTTGAGGTGGTGACCATGCGTACTTTATCAGCAAATACTAGTGTACCCATACCGAGAGATAGAAAGGGAAAAGTATTGCTTCATACAGGAATTGTAGTTCATCGTACTAATCTCTTAGCATGCCCAGGAGATGGACATCGATCGGGAGTGGTAAGATTTGTACAAAAAAATATTTAATGTATTTTTTCAACGTTTGCTTAAAACCTTTGTTCGTGTGTATTTCCACACATATTATTGAGATTGACTGTGCGTGGGCATTAAATTATAAGAATAGGATTATATGTAGAAAAGGATTAATCAGCTTATATAAAGAAGAGTCTTTGCTATGAGTAGAGTTATTATTAGTAGAGCTTAATACCATTTTTAATGTAATGTAGACAAGCAAAATCCGAAAGTTTATGACTCTTGCTCTAGAAAAAAGATAAAGACAGTTTTATACCTCGTTGATTAATTAAAAGTATAAGAAAATTTCTATTGTTTTATAAATATATTTAACACATTTTTTTATATTTATTTCAGCTGAATCTGCGGAATCTCTTACAATTTGGTCAGAATATAACATCAATCGATATCACAACACTAACATTCCTACATCATCTGCAAAATCTAGAAGCAAATGAGTTGCCTTTGTGTCCAATGGACGCAAAAGCTTTTATTGTACACCATCGCAGTTGACTTGACTGAGTAAAATAATAATAATTGTTACAGTAATCTCCCGAATTGATATTTAGAATTTATTAATTTTAAGTTACTTTTCGAATTGTTTTGTTTTAAAAGCACTTTATGCCGTTCCTTCGTACTTGTAACTACAATTGCATACATTTTTTGTGTGATTTGTTTGAATGATCTTTTTATTTTTGTGATAATGTAACAGATATTCTTTAAAATTATTATTTTAAATATATATGAAATAAATTTGTTTACTTAATATGATATATAAATATATATATATATATACATATATGATAAATTGTTTTTGGTTAATAAACTAGACTAAAAATATTTTAATGTAACATAAGCAATAAAATTTCAGCTTTTATATTCCAAAATGCTGTTTGTCTTTTATTATCTGTTGAGATTTAATATATCAAAAATATTTAAAATTAAATAAATAATTAAAATCACGAGTATGAATATAGAAATCTTTCCCTTCAAGCTGAAACGAAAAAATATTTTCCTTTGCAAAGAATTATTAATCTTTATACTAGCGAATATGTGTTGGAAGTGAGGGTTATTCTTATTATAAATTAAATATTTATAACCACTTATAATTTATAAACAGTTGTTAATTCAAGTATTCTGCACCTAATGCACAAAGAGTAAATATGGGAACAAACATTATGTGACAAATTTTCTAGTTTTGTTTACATTTCAATATTATTCATTATTTAATTATATGATTCCTATAAAAAATAATATATTATATAAATAATAAAATAAAATAATAAAAATAAAATAAAATATAAATTTCCAATTTCATTATTTAGAAGTATAATCGCATATATTTTTGAAGTGGTTCAGTACAATGATTTGAAACTCTGAATTACTGATTAAATACAAACGCCAGTTGAACTAGCTTTTACATCAGTGGTTTCAGAATGAATTTGTAAATTCTGATTGTGGTTTGGATTTGCTTGTGTGACCCCTTTGGGGGTTGTTGAACGGCACTTGTTGTTGTAGTAACCCGCTGGGACCTGCTTATGCAGTTTCTTTGGCAAGTGTTGAACTGCATTCGACGAGTGGTTCCGAGACGTAGACCAGGTCGTTATTGAAACCAACGGCACTTAGTCGTCTGAATCGACGAGTGGTTCGGTACGTAGATCCGGTCGTTCTTGGAACCCTCACTGGGAGTGTCAATTTTTACATGAATTTGATTGAGGTAAATAAGGTAAATTCATGTTGTTATGTTATTATTACTTTTGTGCATTTTTAGTTATCTATTAAGTTATCTATTAACACAAATCGTTGAATACTTTTTGATAATCCAAAGTATAGGGTAGATAAGATAAGGTATCGAATTATGTTATACAAACCAATTTTTTGTACAAATATTAATAATATTTGGAAGTTTAAAGGCTTAAGTTGTTATATTTAGCATTAAATATATGCAATTTAGTGATATTCTGCATAATTGACTACTTTAGTTCAAATATTTAATCACCAGCAAAGCAAGCTACTTTTAATCATGTATAAAGAGTTAACAATCAAAATTAATTGAAATCTAAATAAATTGTTATATTTGTGAAAAAATAAATTTATGTCAACTAATCCGTTTCCAGTATGTTAGCTCTCTGAACCATGTGGTATTACAGCTGTATTAGCGTTCTGATATTTTTTTGTTTATATTTTGTTATGTATAATGAACTCTTCTACAATACGGATGAAGATCAGGTGAACCATTTATATACACAATGCCATTTATATAATATAATATAAAATATATCGTAATATGTTTCGTCAATAAAAGGTTTTATTGTTGAAAGCTTGTTCCCATAAACTGCAACAAAATGAAGACAGATACGAAGACGATTTTGAGGGACTGTTTTCTAAAAGTCGCGGACGTGACCTACATAATGTACTTATAGATAATGAAAATTATACTGAAAACTGTTGTTTTAATTTTGAAAAGCCACCAAAGACATATATACAAGTGGGTTACTGATACGTATTTAGAAGTTTGAATAAAAACGTATTTTTATTTTTCTTTACAGTTACTGGATTTCTATAAAAATCTATCATTTCCGAAAGACGAACGCTTTCTCTGGGACAAAGGCTGGAATATACAATATGATCCACAACGATTTAATGAAAAAAATAAACTTGAAGTTTTTGTGGTTCCACATTCTCATAATGATCCGGGTATTTTTTACATAATTGCATATTCAGAATATAATTATATAAATAGAAGTACATGTATTAACAACTGTGAATCGCATACATTACTGAATTTGAACTAGTTGAATTTGTACCTCGAATCATTGGTTTGATTTCAACCCAGATTTCATACTAGAGCTCTACTAGATTTCTAAACCTGTCGGGTTCTGAAACAGTTCACAGGCCGGTTTATGTCGTAGTGAAGCATATCATTTTATACATTGCCATAGGTTAGGTATATTTGTCAAACTTCCCTATAAAGCATGTATGATCATAGTTCTCATTTTGTGAACTTAGTCACAAGTTTCTACTAATAATGGTTTCTAATGATCCGCTAATTATACATGGTCAGTTTATCATCATTTTTTATTTATCTCATTTCTCATATTTATGATTTAAAAGTGTGTTTAGAATCACGTGTCTACGAAAATTTTAAAAGGATATGATTCCATCTAATTAACAAAGGACGTGTTCGGTAGTTAATTAATTTTTTTGTTTAGAGTAATTATTAATTATCATAAATAAGAATGAATTCCTAGAAAATTTTTAACAATGATTTAACAATTCATAGGATGGCTGAGAACTTTTAATGACTATTACCACCACAAGACGAAACCACTTTTGGAAAACATTATTCAAAATTTGTTCACCTTTCCGGATTTGAAATTTATTTGGGCTGAAATTTGTTATTTTTCCAGATTTTATGATACTCAAGACCTTATCACAAAAGAGAGAATTAAAAAGTAATTAATAAAAAACTTTTTTACATGTTGTGTTCTATAATGGGAATTTATATTACAGACTCGTACATAATGGGCAGTTGGAATTTGTCACTGGCGGTTGGGGAATGCCAGATGAAGCTAATACACATTGGATAAGTTTATTAATACAACTTACTGAAGGACAAAGTTGGTTAAAGCAAAACTTTAATATTACACCTATTAATTCCTGGTCTATTGATCCATTCGGTCACAGTCCTACTTTGCCTTACATACTCAAGCAGTCTGGATTCCAAAATTTGTTAATACAACGTACTCACTACTCAGTCAAGTACAATTTGGGCAACAAACGTTTGTTGGAGTTTCTTTGGCGACAACTTTGGGGTACTTACAGTAGTTTCTGTTTCCGTTTTTGTCCATATTATTATTATTTATAGTAAGACTTTAAAGAATGAAGTCTTTTTTAAATGACTTCACTAAATGTGATACCGAGTTGTTTACGCATATATGATGCCATTTCTTTCTTTTTCTCTTTATATAAGACACTAAAGGTGATACCGAGTTGTTTACGCATATGATGCCATTTCTGTCTTATGGAATGAAACATACCTGCGGTCCAGATCGTACTATTTGTGAACAATTTGATTTTAGGTATATTAATAAAAACACGATAGACCGATTTTTTCGACGAGGTCAGGATGAAATAACTACAAAAAATATAGTTAAAAAGTAAATGTTTTAAAATTATTATAAGTTTATATACATACAAGTATGTAATAAATCTACGTTTTTGTCTAGGTCTAACTTACTTGTGGATCAATGGAAAAAAAAAGCTGAACTCTATCGCACAAATGCTTTATTAGTGCCACTTGGCGATGACTTTCGGTATCAAGAAAAGAATGAGTTACTTAACCAGCGCAATAATTATGAACGGCTTTTCTACTACATTAATCGTCAAACCAAATTCAACGTCAACGTGCGGTTTGCAACGTTACAGGAATATTTTGAGGCAGTACATAAACACACAAATTATAAGTTTCCAACATTGAGTGGAGACTTTTTCACTTATGCTGATCGCGAAGATGATTACTGGAGTGGTTACTATACAACACGTCCATTTTATAAGCGCATGGAACGTGTTCTGTTGTACTACTTGCGAGCGGCGGAACAGCTAAATGCATGGAATGTAAAATATAAAAATGACCGTTTTGAGAAAATTCTAAGAAATGTGCGTCGGCAGTTATCCCTATTTCAGCATCACGATGGCATAACGGGCACCGCAAGAGCACATGTGGTAGAAGATTATTCAATCCGTCTGAAAAATGCCATTAAGGATTGTCAGTATGTTATGGAAATGAATATTTTCCGTTTAATGACTAGAAATTCTGTAAGTAATTTAGTGTCGGAAATATATGTAAACTCTAACTTTAAGTTTTTTTTTTTAGTATGAAAAAATGGATTATAATAAGAAATATTTCGACATAGATGATTCTAACTGGCCGTGTAACGGCTCAATTCGTAGTCCAATTATTTTTAGCGAAGAAGATGGAAACAGTAAATTTCTAGTGTTTCACAATTCATTGGCACAATGGCGAGAGGAAACAGTACAGTTTTTAGTTACTGCCCCATTTATTCTTGTCTCAGATCTTGATGGCCGTCCAATACAAGCACAAATAACTCCAGTTGTAATTTGGGATAAAATAACTCCGACTTTTTTAACTAAACTTTATAATTTACATTTTGTAGTTAAAATACCTCCTCTGGGCATGAAAACATATATATTAAATCTGAAATCGGAGAAAACGAAATCAAAGTAAGAACTTCTTATAACATCTTAAATAACACATTTAAATTATCTGATTTATTAATAGACATACATACTTCGCTTCAAACATCATATCGAATACATCATTTATTGCTGTAAACATTGAAAACTATCCAAAGGAACTAATAAAATTTACTGCCCAACGTGAATATATTATAACTCTAACTAATGGTGGCACCATACATTTTAATAATAATGGAACTCTAAAGTCTATAAAAACCGATAGGATTAGAGAACCCTGGCCGGTTTCAGTGCAATTTTATGAATATGGTACTAACTGGTGGAGCAAACAATCTGGGGCTTATCTCTTCTTGCCTAATGGTCCAGGAAAACCCTTAGTAGGCAATTTTGTACCTTATATTGTATATACCGAAGGACCAATTGAGAGTTCTGTTTGCGTCGGTCTACCTCTTGTTGTACATTGCACAAGGATATATGATAATAAAATTGAAATACGTAATATTGTCAACATAAGCCCATTGAACAATTTTGAAATATCTATGAGAATTGCAACAACAATTAAAAATAAAGATGTTTTCTATACTGACCTCAATGGTTTGCAAGTATGTATGTCACAGTTTAAACGTAATATTGCATTTATTATAGTATCTGCTTTAAGTTAAATAAATTGTTTCGTTATTATTATTTGGAATATTTATCGCTTATATTTAATCGACAGATGATCAAGCGAAACTATTTTCATAAGCTTCCTTTGCAAGCGAATTTTTACCCGGTACCCACTGCAGCTTATATTGAAGATGAAAATACGCGACTTACAATAATCACTGCTCAGCCTTTGGGTGGAACTTCTCTGTCATCAGGAGTATTAGAAATAATGTTGGATCGGCGTTTAAGTCAAAGCGATGGCCGTGGCTTAGGCGAGGGTGTACTTGACAATCAACCAACAGAACAAATATTTCATTTGTTGTTTGAAAACTTAGAAGGTTGTGAAAAACGTGTAGAAAATCATCCTGCCGGTGCATTGACTTTGGCTGCATACCGTGCTACTAAAGAGCTTCTAAATCCTATAAGTAAATTTGTTTATGTATCATTGGAAACAGCGTTACGAAAAGACTTCGGTACCAAATATTCACCAATTAGTGATGATATGGAAATAATTACATTACGAAATATAATTAATCTGGAGAGAAACTCAACTGAAGTAAACACAGGAGTTATTATACATCGCACCAAAGTGTTGGAATGTTCTGCTCACACTGGAAATCTGAACAAATCGGTGAGTTTTGTAAATGAATAAAAATTTGTTCAGTGAGATAATGAGATGATAATGTTATATATGTTACGATATTTTTCATTTATTAAAAACAATTTTTCTTTCAGGTGCAACTACATAATTTATTTCCGTTCCAGACTTATGGAAGTTCTATACACAGAACAACCTTAACTTTTTTAAAAAATTTGGGTGAAGTCGATATAGAAGAACTACAATTTTGTCCTATGGACACAAAAGCACTAATTTTTAAACATATTCCCTTTAAAATATAGTAATTATTTACATATAAAATATATATATAAAATATTATATAATTAACATTTATGTAATATAATAAGTTAACATCACTACATTTGTAGATCAATATGGAATTATGCAAAAGGAATTCATCAAGACTTTAAAAAATGTTTCGTAAATACCACAACAAAATACAAGAAACAGATAAGTAGATTAGTTAATCCCAATGAGCTAGCTAGCGGCTTAAGTGCAAGTCGAACAGTGGGTTAAAAGCAGGTTCCAGGTTTAAGTAATATTAAAGTATATAAGTATATAAAATATAGGAAACATAATATTATTAAAAGTAATTGAAAATGCATCCGAGTCCGTTCTAAAGACCCGTTCTTTAGATGTTTGTCTTCTGTTACAAATTAGATTCTTCTTATCAAAGCATATTGTTAATAATATAAGATAGGTTAAAATAAAAGAAAGTGTAAAACAAGATTAACTTAAAATTAACTTTTTATGTGAGGATGCTAAAGCTTCCATAAATCCAAAGCTAACATTTTTTTTTACGGGAGTACATAGTATTTGACTGCTCAACATATATGTGAGCTCATTGATTTAATACATTATGCAAGTGGTTTAAGTAATCTGCATATCTGAAGCGCAGAAAAAGTGGAATAACATAGTTTCATTGTTCAATTGTCTATATTTACGGTATGAATGCTCTCCATGTCTCTCTCCCGTTCTTATCAGAAAACCAAAACAACCAACTTTTAGTATGTCTTCTCTGTTAAGAGCAAAGAGTTAAGCTTATTGGGAACGAATGTGTATGTATCCAAAAGCGAATCGGGCAAAAAGAGTGATGAAGCAAGAAAACTACAAAATATAACACCAACCGTAGATATCACTACAGAACGAGTGCTTATACTCCACTCCACATGGTCTGTCGGTCAGGCGCATGCTTTCAGATTCCTATTGCTCTGAATCCAGATTCCATGAATCCAGATAATAAGCAAAGTGGTTGTTTTGAAACTGTACACACTTGTATGTGTGAGAATATCAATTGGCTCTCTAACAAGATAACAGGGATAGTGCGCAAGTATTGATGTGTATCTGTGTTTCTGTGCATGGTTAAGAAATGTATTTGACAAAGTCACAAATCTTGTGGGTTGCAGCACACATACTCGTATCATATAGTTTCGTAGTGCCGCGTTAAAACGCCAAAGTATTGAAGCACGTTTCATGTTTTGTTGTTAATAATGAGTGAGAGAATGAGAACTTATACATATGCTGAGATGTTGCTGCTTTTACTCGTACCTATACCCAAGTGAGAACGTTCAATATTGCCACTATTGTATGCAATAGTAGTGAGACAGATTTGTGAGACTCTTGTGAGATATCTGTGAGAAGTACATGAACATGTATCAATGCAAGCTACAGATACAAATTCAAGTTTTGTATGAAATTGAAATTTTTCATTTGAATTTGTGGGGAATTTTTACAGTCGTTCATAACATTGGAATCACTTTCGAGCCATAAGTCGCAGCGATTCGTTCGTTTGTTCGTACACACGTTTTTGTCATAAGTACGTTTAAATCAATCTTTTTTTATAAAAAATGTATTTTTGCTTATCTTGATAACAGCAGAATAATTTTTTTTTTCATAGAATTGAGTAATTTGTTAGTGTGAAAATATGCATAAATGTGTGTAAAGTGTGTGCGTTCCAGTTAAAACACTTTAATTGAAACTATTTACTGCGCATTGTCTAATACTTTTGTGAAATTATTTTAATTCAATATAGAACATATAAAATGAAATACAAATAAAACATATGAAAAATGAAATTAAATTGTTTTAGGCTTTTGTCAGTCCGCATTGATAAACATAGCGAGAAATGACAATAATCTTTTATTTTGTTAGTCCGAAAGTCGGAAATTTAACTTAAAAAATTCAATGTCAAATATAAATCAGAAAATAGATACAATACCAAACTATCTGACAAAAAAGCGGCAGATTGTGAGATACTTTTATGCTGGTTACATAAAAACTACAATTATGCGTAAAAATAATGTTATAGAAACAAAAAAATAACGATAACACATATGAGAATAAATTCAAATACATAACTCATTTAAATAGTTTTTAAATATTTATTATCAAAATTTAGTTATGAAAATTAGTACAATTTTTCGAACAAAGAAAAAGTAATCGAATAAATGGCGCAACAAAAGTGTGACGAAAAAAAAGTTTAAAATTCATATATCAACACACATGTGTGTTAATTTATATTAAGATACTTTTGCATTCTTATAGTTTTATATTTCCTTCATATATTCCTTTTTCTACTATATATAAATACATATATATTAACTATATCCTATGAAGAAAAACGTAAAAAGCTGCAGTCTATGAAAAAATTTTAAGTAAAAAATTTATAATTAAAATCGATTTATATACATATATATGTATATAAATATATTTATGTATGTATGCATATACATGAGTATATAACTGAATATATCTAAGCATTCCAATGGTCAAATGTCATGCATATGAACAACTACGTCATACAAAAGTGTGTCAAAGCAGCAGTTGAACAACAAAAACAACAAACAACTACAAAGCAACATAGAAACAGCAGATTTTTTCAATAATCAAAGTGTATGAGCTTTGAGTGTTGCGTGCGTGGAACCAATTTTCACCACTCTCAACTTTTCTCTCATGCAATACAACCTTGCTCACTTCGCTCAATACCGCCATAAAATCATGAAAAGAAAAATGTTTTCAATTTTGTTTATACAAGATATTAAGCAATACGAAATTTGCTTTTAATTAAAACAAAAAAAAAATTTTAATTCACAACAAAGTTGAAAAAATAAATTAAAGAATATCGCATTTAATATTAGACAAATATTTCATACAAATATTTTCACACTTCACGAATATTAAAAAGCAAAAGTTAATATTAGTTAACGAAACAAGTCAAATATTACTAACCTATCAACTGTCAAAAAACTGAAACTTTTTGTAAATTTATGTTTACAAGAGTAAATATATTTCTATGTTAAACATTAACATTAAATCTATCTAAAAATAAATATAAAATAATAACAGAGTTAATTAATATAACTCTGTATTATATATATTTTTCATTTAAGCATTCCTTAACTCTTTTCAACAAAAAAATTCACACAATATTTTTATTTCAATCGTTACATTCTTTTGCTCACACATCTGTGAACTTGATTTTGTATTCGTTTGTCCGTTTAGTTTTTACGTTGTTTCATAAAAGTTTGGAGATTATAGATTCTAGTGCAAAATGTATATGCGTAGAGTATGTGTGTAGAGTTAAATAACATTCTTTCTTCGCTTTTACGGTTTGTAATGGAAGAAAGAATGTTTATAAAATTTATTATGGTTATTTAAAAATAATAATGAGGCATAAGGTTTAATTAATTCAGAACAACGATGTATATACAATCAAACGAAAGTATAAAAATAACTATAATTTTTTATATGTGTAATTTATAATTTGTATAATAAATTATACGATATCTACTACTCATAATTAGAATTCATATATTCTAAAAATAATTATTTAAATGAATTATCTAATGAAACATTTTTCGTGTAAGGATTTTCAAATATTAGTAATAAACACAAAACTAAAAAGAATTAATTAAAACATATAAAAATAATTATTCGAAATTATTTTTTATATAAAATGCAAAAACAAAAATTATAATACATTTTGTTAAGTTTCCTAAATATTTATTTTTAAAATAATATGTAAATTTGATTTACAGTATTTTAAAGTGCTATAAAAATTTTCTTAATTGTTATAAAGAAATATGTTTCTACTTCAATACAATTTTTTTGACTTTTTTGAATTTTTTATTGACTTTATGGAATATTCATAAAAATATCACTTTTAATTATTTTGTTAACATTTATTTAATAATTAAAAAAACAAAAATTTATTGTTTCAATACACTTAGTTTTCTATAATTTTAGATAGTTATAATTTTGAGATTTAATTGAGCTTTTCAAATATAGAACAAATGTTTCTTTTATATATTAATTACAAGTCAACTTTTTATCATCTTCAGCTGTTTATTAATATCGAAATATATTGAAACACAAGCTTTGACTACTTTTCAGTTAAAATAAACGTACATGGCAACACTGACAGAATATTAAATCTAATTTTATTTGATTAGATTGTAGAACTTCTGAAAACTTTAATTGAGTTTAGCATAACAATGTATCCACATTACACTATAATGCAGTTATGTAGATATAGTATTTTTTATGGTTTTCTACGTTTTTATCTCTCACATTCAATTGTTGAAATTTTTCCCTTAAGTATTCTTTTGATGGATAAAATTCTCATTATATATAAGCAAAATGCAATATTTTTTAAAAAACATTAATAGAAGTTATGTTTCCTATAGAATTCCATTGTTAATGCAAAAAATTGACATTTTAAATGTGGCAGTTAATAAAATAGAAGTTAACTCTTAGTAGATTTGGATTATTTTTGATGATAATCTATATTTCAAAAATAAGAATTATGAAACCTATACTTTCTGTAAAATATAATTTTCCCATATGTTTTGTATTTATTGTTTTAAATAAAAAAAAATCAATAAATATAAAATAGAAATAAAATTTTAAGAATTATATATATATAATTATCAAATTATCCCAAGGCATTCTTTAAACATTATATTAATTATAATTTTGCTTTTGTATTACCGAGCAAATATTTCTTTAAAAAAAAACAGCAATTAATGTTATAATTTTAATAAGATACGGATTGATTTATTATTTATATTCTAAAAATAAGTTTTATTTAAAAAAGTTATATAAAATATTAAATGAATAACGCATAGAGAATTGGGAATAAATTTTAACACATTCTTTTTTATATATTTATATGAATAATTATAAATAAAATTTATACGATTAATACGGTTAAAAAATATATCAACTTTAATCCAATGTAATATATATATATTCTCATAGTTTCTTAATGGTATGTGACTTGTTAATATGTAACTTATTTATACTTTATCGGTTCACATATGATTTAAATTCCTTAATTATAACAATTTCAATTTGATTAAGAATTTAACTTCATAAATTCTCTTATAAGTCGTGAAGAAAAAGCAAATGGTTTAAATGCTCTATTATCACGTTATCACAGGCTATTATTTAACATAGTTTTTTTTTTGTTTTGCAAAACCTACTAAACTATTCTTATTAATATCGTATTTAAAAATAAAATTGCAACTTAGCAGTTTAAGATATTAAAGCAAATAAAAAAAAGCAAAAAACTCGAAAATATTTTACAAGGTTGCACATACGCCAACTCATGCACAATCATTTCAATTTCATACGTTCATACATTTTTACTCTCTCAACCGAGTATTTTCAAAAAATGCATATAGTTTTCAAATTTTCAATACTAAAAAACAGTATAAAA